TACGATAATTTTGACCTCATCTCAATAAGACTGTCGCAGGCCACAATCTGAAGACTACACTCTGCGACGCGTCTCACATCGGGTCCTGCGGAACCACCGAAGACTGAACCCCCCAAAAACAGTCGAAAGTCCTGTTACTGCTGATCAATCTCCATAACCTTCCGGAAGCTCCGGCCCCTCCCCCGACCCTCCCTCCCCCCCCCACAAACCCACCTGGTCCAGGAGTTTTGGCAGATCCTCGGCTCTTCTTCTTCGTCGAAAGCTTTTTGAATACAGTTCGTGAGCAGGGAAGGGTAAAGCATGGTGTATTAGCCTACACCGTCATGATGACAACCCTCAATGTACGACGCCATGTAAGCGCAATACCGGCATGTAGTCAGATCATCATTGGCAAAACTACTGTATCATAGCAAAAGCCATGCTGAGTAGCATGAACATCGCTTGAGACCAAGGCTCCTGGAGAGCGTTGCCCAGCTTCCCTGTTAGCCCACATCCGCTCACCTCGTTTTCGGTGCTCCCACGTAAGACTTCAGCTTGTGGATGGGCAGCTTCGTCAGATGGCGCAAGGAAGCAGCAGGCTGGATGGCTGTCGCCCAAACACAGCTTTCGGGGCTCGGGGTTGAGGTAAGATCGCAGCAGGGATCTGCGAATGCATGTTCATCATCTCGCATGCTCTTCACGACAACTCTTTAGACCGCACTGCCAAGCCACACAGGCTTCCACTTCTGAGACGAAGGTCGAAACTTTGTCCTTTTGCTTCTGTCTGATGGCTTCTGTCTGATTCGTGCTTCTGTAGACCGTGTACAGTCACAGCATCATAGCGACGTTTCGCCCTGCATGCAGCTCCTTCGAGTAGTGCCGTGTGCCATAGTGTTCGCCTGTAGCCATGCAAAAGCCGGTCATCCCATATCCTTGGCAAGGAGACCCTTTTTGCTTCCAGCCTGCAAAAGCCTCCGCCGGGGACCAAATGAAGGGCTTACGACAAACCTTGAACTCTGCAGTCTTCAAAGGATGCGGCAGGTGACAACTCCAGAAGCCCTTCTGCCACACCAGAAACGACCGAAGGATTCGCATCCAGATGATGTTGAGTGAGACTGAAAGTAACTAGGAAGTGATCCTTCATCTGACAATGCTTCACGGAAGGCAGCAAGTCCGAGGCCTGAAATTTGCACCCCAGGGAAAGCTGCTGAAGCCCGTCTTCGTCTACCCACAGAAGCATCCACCTACCCGAAGCACTGAAGCAGGACCCTTTTGCAGCGGGCTTCTAAACCCCCCCAACCCCACAAGCGTAAACACCATCTCATGCGATGCAACTCCTAGGCTGAAACCTGGGCAACAGCTCCAAACAACAAACTGCAGAAATTAAATGTGCATGTGTCCGGTGGCAGAAGCAACAAAAACAGATGATCTGCCCACCGTATAAGGAGCAGGGTCTCCTCAGATATTGTGATTTGTAAATATATTACATACATATATATATATATATACAGATATAGAGATCTACATATGTGCAAAGGTTTAGGCACGTGGTGCTTCCCGTGTCTCCCAGCCCCCACTCACTGCGATGCGCTGAGGAGCGTGTGACATCGGAGGTCCGGTTCTTGGACTTCTGTGCCAGGCCGAGGTCACCGAGCTTCGAGTGAATGTAGCCTGGGGCAAAGGCCAGAGGAAGGAGATCTCACACTCAAAGACTGCTAAGTTTCTAGCATATACCGACCGGGACCATGCTTGCCGACACTTGTGCTGCCATCGTCATCACCGTCGTCGTCATCGCTCTTGGCAGAATCGTCCCCTCCCACTGTGACTGAGGTAGGCGCGGCCTTTGCTGTGCAAGAAGATGTTCTCGGGCCTGGGGCTCGGTGCAACAAGCTTTGATCTTGAGATTGCGGCATAGAACTTGGCTGGGGCCAGTGCTTCATGTCATTATGGGTAATGCCGTTCTCATGCATGTAGGCCAGGGCGGCTGCAATTTCTTGCAAGATGACCATCATCCTCGGGCAAAATGCAGGATCCAACCCTTCCGCGGCAGCATCGGGTCCCAGATGACTTGCGGCAGCTTCAATTTCAGATTCAAGCTGCAAGGGCAGCCACACACATCACTGGCTGAACCTATCTATGGCCTAAGAAGTGTACATGCAACGTGCGCTTAGCTTTCTTCCTTTTTACATTCAGTGGGCCTAAGGTTCTCTGGGTGAGTACAGCCTTCGCTGGACCCAGCTCCTTCTACTAGTGAGTGTGCTCTCTCCATTTCGGAGTTTTCAGTCATGCTATGCCCCTACATGGCCAGGCCACCAATTCAACTCGCAAACACCAACGAAACCTCCTCAATTTAGCAGCGCAAGGCTCCCCTCCGGGCTCAGGAGCTCTTTATCAAGCCAGTGCTGCACACTTCCGGCATTCATCTTCTCGATTGTCATGCACCTAGGGTTGAACCGCGTTCAGGAAGCATCAAGCTTGGACAAAGCGAAAAAAAACACATGAAGACATTGAAATACTATCATCATCCTGGGTACACGTAGTGTGTGGGAAAGCTCTTGCGCTGAATATCCGACTTCAACTTTCCTGGAGGAGGAATTCGGCAAGTCAAGGGTCGTCACTGAGTCGTCACTGGCTAGGGACAAGGAAATGCTTCGGGTTTGCATTTTGTGCAACACACGCTCCTGCTGCGTAGCCATCGAGAAGGCACTTCTTCAGTACCCCGTTGTCATCTGCATAAAGGAAGACCTCCTCATATCGCACCTTGGACAGGAGTCAGCTCTTCACTCCGGCAGCAACAGACTGTCCATCAAAGCCCCAATACTGTGCTGTATGCCGAAGCTGGGGACAGCACTATGTTCTCGTGACCTTTGCCCATCCTCAGAGAAAGTGTGTGCGCAAACCAACAGGCAACTGCGTTGCATCATGGTGCACCTTTCCGGCAGACACTGCAGGCAAGGCTCTTGCTCCCATAAACCCACTCCTTTGCGTTAACATCTGCGTGGTGCACGTCGCTGAGCTTCAGCACCGCCTGCGTTTAGAATCTTTCCAGGGGCGATTATTCATGTGCTCGACATCACCAGCAAGGCCGGCATGCAAACTTCTGCCTGCTTGTCCGACCCCTTCTTTGGCGCCATCATCACCCATCCCCACTTGCCATTCCCCAGCCAGTTGCCTTGTGCCACATGCATTTCGTGGTTCTTGAGGTGACACACACAACAAAAACACACATGCACAAACGCACAGTCATGTAAACAGATACACATAAGCAAACAGACACGCATGCGCTCGACCAGCCTGCTTTCAGATTGTAGGCGCTTTCCAAGGAATCCGCACCTGGTAGCATTCAGCTGCTCTCTGGTATATGCACAAGCGAAATGGCGCTGCGTAGACCAGCAAACGAAAGCCAACAGAGGCATTGACAAAATGGTGCTCCGTGGACCGGAGAACACTTTTCTACAGGCTTGACTACTAAACAGCAATGTGCAGCTCTTTTCTGGGGGCCTTCTCAATTATGCAAAGCGACTTACCGAAGCTTTCGTGGCAGCTTCCCAGAAGGAGCTCATGGCTTCCATTTCCTGCACTTGTCGTGGTTTGCAGGCAGCCAAGGACTGAAGTTGTCTCGCCTCTTCGTGCACTTTCTCGGCATCGGCGTCGTCATCGGCAGAACCAAAAATCTGATCCTCGGCTTGCTGCTGCCTTTACGAGTACTCTTGCCTCCTAGAATGTTGCCGTCTATCAGCGGTGGCGGTGTGAGGTCGCCCGCCCTGCAGCCAAGGCTCCCCGACCTCGACCAACTTGCTCTTAGCTTTCTTGCCTGGGTGAACATAACAAACGACGGTTGGTTTGGGCACCACACCCTCCAGGCATCAGGCTGAGTTTCGAATAGCAGCTGCGTGCAGCAGCCCTGCCCCAACAGCAACGAGTGCATTGTGTCCCACGAATCACAAGATCTTCTCGAAAACGACCACAGGCAGATGTGCCTGAAATCTTTCACTGCCTGCTGATCCTCTTCAGTGAAGTCATCCCCCTGGGCGGAGATTCCGGTTAATGATTAGCATCCCGACTAACCCAAAGGCACCAGCAAATGCCCGAGTCCGCCACTGCACTGTAGAGCGAGGAAACGCTGAGGCCCTCTGCAGACGTACACGCAGGCCGATGTAATATAATATATATATATATGCCTTACTAAAGGCTTAAGCCTTAAGCAGCACGTACATATGCACATATGGGCATATGCATATGCACGCAGAAAGAAACTTAAACACACTTAGGGACAGTATCCTATTTCGGGGCGATAGGACAGCACACGATGATACCCGCGATGCAGCACAAGATGCGTAAGACGAGATGACATGGGACAGAACGATTGGAGCACGTCTCGCACACTGCCAAGTTAAGAGTACGATTGAACTACAGTTTAGCTTCTTATGATGTGTATATATTTTTGTATGTATGTATGTATGTATGTATGTATGTATGCATACATGTATGTGTGTGTATGTATGTCTGCATACATTCACACATACACACATACATACATACACACATACATACATACATACATACATACATACATACATACATACATACATACTATGCATATAGGTATACATGTCTATATGTATATGTATAAGTATACAAAACTATCTTAACATAACAACATGCTACTATATATTAACATGTGTATATAAGATATATCTGTATACACACGCATATGCATACACACGTGTGCAGCAGGCATCCACCAATGCACGTCTGCATCCGCAGAGAGAGAGAGAGAGAGAGAGAGAAAGAGACAGAGAGAGGCAGGCAGGCAAGAAGGGTTTCACTGTCTTTGCCTGCAGCGTCTTGCTCGAGGGGTCGGGATGAAGTGCCGCCAAGCCAATGAGGGTTTCCGGCCGGATCATGGCGAAAGCGTCACCTTCGGAGACTCGGCAGCCGACGCTTTTTGATTGGCTCATTGCAGGCCCCGGATGGCCCCGGCCTGCAAGTTGCGACTACTGCAACTTCGGGACCGCCATTGCTGTGAACAGAACAGCAGCTAGCCTGCACCCTCCGGCTGGATTTTGTTTGCACAAGAACAATGTAGCAGGATGCAAGTAGTGACTCTAGATGTCGAATCAAATCCATGCATGCTTCCATCACTACGAGTATCTCGGCAACGGCATGTTCAGTTTGCTTGGCCCAAGATGTGCTTCCGAAGAAATATAAAGCTTCAGAGTCAGTTCCCTGCGCTGACCAAACTTCTGAAGTCTCTACCTGTCTCCAGCTGTTCAGACGTTCTCGTCTCTGGCCTGTGCTGTCCCATCGCTCCGAGGCTGCAGCCTTGTGTACCTGTGGCCTTGCCCTTGAGGCGCATGTTGAAGTCTATCTCTTTTTCCTTAAATGTAAGGATCGAACGAATACTCGCGAGCCCTGACGGTACCTCAAGTAACTGAGGCTTCCGCTTGCATTTCTGGCCTCAGCGGCGATAGCGTGACAAACAGGCAAGAGCAGTGGACATGCAGAGAGATTACATTGTGACATCCGGCCGGGCACGATAGTTAACGCCTATACAGCCTGTACCCCGCAACCGTCAACCGTACAGATGGGAGCTACTGCTCAGCAGCCAAAACGCAGGCCCGCAACGAGGAAAAATACTGCACCACGGTGAAACTCTCATCTTTCGCTTCCGCATACATCACTCAGTGTGCTCGTGCTGCCTCAAGACCAGCTGATTTTTGCTAAAATGTCCCTGCAGCCTTTGAGGCGCAATTGACTGACTCCATGCAAGGACACACGACTCCTTCGCTAGAGAGAAGTTTTTCCCTCTCGCATGCCTCAGCTGAGCTGGTGGGGAGAGTGAGTCACTGCAGAGACCAGCAAGGAACTGCTGAACGAACGAATAGGAAGAAGCCCTCTAACGTACGTGGACGATCCGCTACAGTCAGTCAGTCGAAAAGGGCAAAGCTCAAATGGCCCTGCAATGTACGTCGTCGTCAACACGCCGCGAGAAGTTTCGTGAAGAGCACGGCAACAGGCCATGGCCCTGCGGTTGAGCTTGGCTTGGTCTGGGCCCCTATGCCTCGTACAGTAGGGCCCAGCAGGTGCCTGAGACTCGGAGCACTCTGGCTTCATGAAATCTGTACATCCTTTCGGATTTCGGCGCAAGCGTTCTCAAAGCTCGGCCTGAACAGGCTCATGCCGCTGCCCTGTTAGCAGCGAATCCATCTCATCAAGCCTGCCGCTGGCGTCAGCGCAAGTCATCTTGGCAGGGTAGTTGTTGTGCAGCACGGGGCCCTCCGCTGCTGTTCAGCTAAGCAGCATTGCCGCAATTTTGGTGCATCCAGTTCCTTGGATTCAGGAGCCAACAACTCCGGCATGGAAGCCTCAGAAGCCCTCCGTCCTACAGTCCGGCTGAGCCACGGTTGCGCACTGTGGACACAGAACGGATCACCTCGCCATGGAGCCAGAAACTGTGTGGGAGTGGGTGCACCCAACATCTCTCGCTTACCAGGCTTACCATACCACAGCTTGAAAGCTTGGCATGAGAGGCCTCCATGAAGGAGCCTGGCCATCCGGTGGAAAAGCCAAAGTTTTGCATGGTTGGACCTGTGCACAGGATGCACAGATGTCTGGGGTTCTGGGTGACCAAGCGAATGTCAGATCTCTGAGAATGTCCAGATTGGAGAGGAGAGGCTCAATATGTCCTCCACATATGGCATGGTGGCCTGGGTAGCGGCCAAATGAATCGAAAAGCAGCCAGCCGAAGCCAAAAGCCGGCACATTGCGACCATGGTGCGCTCAGCTTCTCCTCGTACGTCCTTCTCTACTACCCTTCCCCTAGTCGTGGTACGGTGATACTTGTGACTTGTGTGCTTTCAAAACAGAAAGGCGGCTTGGCTGTCCTGGCATCATGCACCTCCCAAGCCTCTGCCAGCTGCTCTGAGATCAATCGAAGGATCTGCAAAAGACTTGTCCTTTGCTGGCCGCAGCTTGGCCAAAACCCGGTGGTACTCGCACTCAGCTGCACATCTTGAAGCCCAAAAAAGCTAGTTGACCTATCAAGTCTCTGCCATTTATTGCCAAATCCCTCCAAGGAGCATCAGCTTTCGGGCCTGGGATGCCTCGAGAGGCCGCGGTGGTGGTCGCAGGCCGGCGCTGATTCCGAGGCGCTGCAAAACTGCGTGGCGCCTGCCAGGATGCAGGAAACCGCACTTCGACTGATTGCACGTAAATTTGCACGACTCTGTAGCATAGACCCTGGGCGGTGCACTGAGCCGGGTCCATCTCATCCAAGGCCTTCTGGAAGCCAGCCTCAGGGCGAGGCATAACGAGGCGCCGGTCCTGCTCTCGACTCTCGCCACATGCAAGACTTGAAACCAAGCAGCTGGATCTTTGGGCAGTTCGGCGACCGATCTTGGGATGAGTGCGGCATGCAGCAGGAAACAAGCTACAGCGACTGATAGAGTTGAAGCATCCGAGCGGCTGCGCTGCACCGACGAGCGTCCACATCAAAAGCAGGTGGACCATGTCTCTCCGGCATTGTCTCCGCGACTCGCGGATGTGCTCAGAATACCCCATGAGCGTGATAAGTACTGGCCAAGACTAAACCTTCACCAGCACCCCCAGCTCATCACCACCCTGTGCTGATGAGTGCCCTGCATTGCTTTCACATGCGGCTGCTGACTTAGATCAGATGTGCGGCCTGCAGAGCTCACGGTCACTTCGCAGCTTTGGACAATCCAAGCTGTGCTCGCACCGTCGGTAGCAAGGTTTGGCGACTGATCTGGAAACATTTTCAACTCAAGCGAAGTGAACGTGCGACTATCCAAATCCACAGCCTGGGATGCTGCTAAAGCATATCGACGGTCAAACTGAGGTCCTTGCATTGTGTTCGCCAGCGCATGAAAGTATGACACCGTCGCATCAATCTCGGTGCCATTAACAACGCTTTGCCCAATGAGCATTGATTCTTCACAGGTTTGTTAGGCTGAGTCTAAGCAAAAATGTCGGTGGACGCTCGCCGCAGGCTGAGGGCAGAGCATACTTCAACTCCCGCACAAAGCGCTGTCGCTGAGGGTCTGCAGACCAAGCCTTCGGTCGGAGACTTCCTCTGCCCGCCCCACGAGACATGAAGTAGGATGTGTTATCCTTCCAACAAGCCAGAAGCAGTGTCTAAACCTTGCCTCCTTCAAGGGGTCCAGCTTCCTGCGAATCTAGGAACAAAGCTGCTCGGAACAAGAAGCCAGGAGCGGCACCATGTCGTGGCCGGAAAATCTTAGCTCACTTATAGATTAGAGCCTGCCACTTCCTTTGTTTGCATTGAAACTGCAGGGGCGTGGCCTCCTCTGGTCGATGCTTGATCCACCATCGGAACCCGCCTGCCTGCGTCAAGTCGGACGGACGGCCGCAACAAGTGTCCGCTCGCATGTGCTACGCGGGCTTTTTTTGGACTCTGGCCGAAGCCTCGCAGGTTAAGATTCAAGGGACTAAGATAAGCTTAAAGCTGGCAACTCCGCCTATCTCCGAAGCACAAGTTGCCTTGGTGACAGGCTGAGAGATGTCATTGAAATTTGTCTGGAGGTCTTTCTGTGAAACACATGGTGCACCCTCCTTAGGGCACGCCATATCTTGCAACGCGTCTGCGCCTAATCTCACCCAACGACTACTAACTAGTCTCCTCTAGCTGCATCTTGCTTCCAAGCTTGCTTCTGGTAACCGGTACTGTGCAAAACAACCCCAGGCTGCGATTCATGCGGCGGATGGCCGCACCCCGGAAAAGCCTAAACAACTCGGACATGTGCAAAAACGACACGCAAACTGGGCGCCCTCATGCAGTCGCAGTCGCCACCGGGTCTCTGCAATCCTGAAATGTGGAAGGCACGCTCCCGGCTTCTACCAATGGTTGTCGCACTTCTGGCTTGTCCTTGCCCTGGCCAACTCCAAGGACCTGCACACCGAAAAGGACGTTCCACGCACCTGCTGCCAAAAGCAAGCCGATGGTGCCCAGGGGGACCACATTGATCTGCATAGTCAGGCAGTCTTCCCCGACTGCCTCCTTGGCCACCTGCAGGGCTTCGCGGTCTCGTGTTCGAGGATCCTCATACTAAGGATCCGACTATCTTGTTACCTTTGTCCCGTTTTCTTAAAGTCCCACCTCACAGACTGCTGGCGCCAGGCCACGGATCGCCGAAGAGGCAAAGCCGTTGACCCCCTCAATGAAAGTGATCAAATACCCGAGCGCGAAAAGGTCCAAGAGGCAGAAGGTCGCAGCGAAGCCAGCCAAGCTCCTTGCGATGCCAGGAGCCTTTCCCGACAAACCAAGCAAGAAGGCTACGATGTGTAGGAAAGGGCAGCCAATTCCGGTCCAGATCACCATAATTCTGAGCCCCATGTCGGTCTTGCCCAAGCTTGACGCACTCAAAGAGATTGGGTCGATGAGCGTGCCGGCAACTCCTCCAGTGACAGCCTGCATGAAGTCGCAGAACCACCACATGCAGATGCCAGCAATCATGGCGCAGCTCGCCAGCCCCTGCAGGGCTGTGACCTGCAGCGGAGCCTTACCTGCCGCCCAATCTTTCTCCTTCACTGGCCGAGGCAGGACTTTGAGCAGGATCAGGGTAGCCAGCAAGCTGCAGACCGAAGAGAACCAAGATGCATAGGCACCAGCCTGCAGGCCCAGGCCCAGAGTCTGCGTCATGCCCAAAGGCATCTGAATCGCACCCCCCAAGGCCATGGCAGTGTTGCCGGTGGTCTCCATCTCAGACAAAGGGAAACGGCCCAGCACCAACGCAAGGAGCAGCAGCTGTCGGCGATACTTGGCCAGGAAAGGCGTCAGCCAAACAAGAACCAGAATGGCATGGGAGGTTAATGAGGAGACGAGCGACATGAAGAACCACAAGGCTTCGCAGTACAAGGAGCCCCCAACTCCAAACTGCACGCCGATGCCGAAGAAGGTGTACCTGGGTTGGCTTGCGAGCAGCACGCATATCCCAGGTCATCCCAGGTCCCCGGTTACCTACCGGTACAAGGCAAGAGAAGTTGAGGATGCTCACATGCCGACCAAGCTGCTCCAACAAGGCATCATCCTGGAAGATGGTGGCACCGGAAGCCTGAGTGACCCCCATACCAGCCGCCGCAAAGGGCAGCCAGAAGCACGCGAGGATGCGAGCTACAAGTCCAGCAGCCATAAGCGTGGAAGTGCAAATCGTCGCTGTCTTGGGGATGCCGACTTGGGAGCGTGCCCTCCCGAACCAGCAAATTGTGGCCAAGGGCACCGGTGTCGTTGGCAGCACCTCACCGCAGTCATCGTTTCGAACCAGCTTTCCGAGATGAGCACAAAAGCTGTATGTACCAGAGAGGCCCATGACAATCAGGACGCTAATAAGCCAAAGCTTCATGTTGTCAGCCGCAACATAAGTGTAACCTAAAGCATCCTTCGGCAGAGCCCCGAGTTGCCCCGATGCAGACAACTTGGGCAGGTCCGTGCACTGCGCCAGGACTACATCACGGGCCAAGTGGTACAAACGGGAGGCACCCTCTGTGGTGGAGACGTACTTGCGGAACTTGACGGCCAGCTCGCATAGACGAGGGTGCAACTCACAAAGCTGCTTCAGGGGCTCTTGTGGAGGTCCATCAATTGGTTTCACGATCAGGTTGCCATTTCCTGTCCAAGTGGCGCTCAACGTCTCGATGTCGAGGTGGGCAAAGGGTGACAGGAGGGCGCAGGTCATGCTGGGCGGAAGCTGCATGTCAAGCAGAGCCCACAAGTCCATCTCTACGTCAAGTTGCGCATCGGCCGTGCCGCAGGGCATCTCCGTGATAACGGAGCCGTTGCCCTTGAAGTTCCCGGCCTCCACAGAGCCGCTCACGGCAAAGGTGGGCCGCCAGGGTGCCTGGGGGCTCGGGCACTTCGAGACGGCGCTCATTCCCAGCCAGCTTCTGTGTGTCTCAGATGGGACCAGGACACGGAGGTTGCTCACCTGATCCAAACCTGTGGCCTGCAACTCTCTCAACGAAAACTTCGCATCCAAAGGCAAAGGCAGCTTCGGCATGTCCGAGAGGCCCTGGTTTATCGTGGTGGTGTTTGCGGCAATCAGGCCATCAAAGAAGTTGTCAATCCACTTCCTCAGATAGTTGTCGAAAATAGGCGGCCAGTCGCTGTAGTACTGTGGAACCGTCTGCCTCGCCTTCTGCGATGCCATGGACGGGCTGATGCACTGTCCCGGCTTCAGCTGCTCCTTCAGCTTGGCGTTTAGCTGCCCGATGAGTGTATCAGAGCCTGCGAAACGCTCGATCGCACCGGGAAGCAGTGGCTCGTAAACCTTGTTGAACAAGGCCACGCCGTTGTTGAGCAAAGCAGCCAAAGAGGCCTCCAATGCTCCAACAGTCTTCGCCTGGAAGCTCAGAGGGGCTGCGATGCCGGCAAACTGCACCTGGAAAAAAGGGCCCAGGGATGCTTTGTCCCTTCTACAAAATACTACGTAACAAAGGAACTTCAGCTTGCCATGCCTGCAGCTTCTTCAAGGCAGGTGCCGACTTGAAGACGCTGGTGAGGCATGCTTGAGGTGCCACCAGGAACTGAGCCAGCGTATGTTGGCCTGGCCACTCACTTTCCAGGACGAGGATCTCACCAGTGGCATCTAGAGAAGGCTTCAAGAGTGCCAGGTGCAGGCTCATCTCCTGCTCCACCAAACCTTGCGACTGCTTGGTTTGCAGATCTATGGCCTCCACTTTCACACGAACATCTACGCCGAAGCCAAAGGCTGGGATGTCCGGCGTACCCCAGCTGATCTTGAAGCGCAGGTCGTTGGGGCCAATGGCCTGCACCGGGGTGAAGGCGGACATGCCATCGGCCCCTTCGATCACGGCCTGCTTCAGGAAAGCCTGCACCTCCAGGGAAGTTGGATAACAAAACACAAGGAACGGACATACCTGGCATAATACAAGTGCTCTATTATAAGGGTAGTGCAAGCAAGTCCTTTGCAAGGCACCTTCAGCTCCAGGCCGGCATCTGGCTGTTGGATGGTGCTGACTGCCACAGGCGTCTCGGGCCCCGGGATGTTCACCGACTTGGCGCCCTTCCAGGCCCAGCGGAGGGCCTGATCCATCTTCTCTGGGCCAAGGACGTCGTCCAATAACCAAGACATCCAGCTGACAGACGGGTCACGGCTCCAGTCCACGGTAGGGGCGCCCGAGCCCTCCTGAAGCCTCCGGTCATAGCGAAAATTCTTCGGGGCCTGGGCCTGTGCCACCTCCGGGGCCTGGAACATGTCATCGGCAACACTGTCGAAGGTGACCTTGAGGCCCTCGACTTCCTCCGCTTTCTCCACCGCACTACCTTCCAGCAAGAGGCTTGTAAGGGTTGTTGAGCCTGGTGGCAGCATCAGGTGATTGAAAGTAGCCAGCTTCTTCGAAAGAGGGCCAGCTGCCATCTCCTTCAGCTGATCGCAGGCTTGCTTAACTGCCTGTGACTTGATGAGCAAAGAGATCGGGGTAGAGAAGAGATTCACAATGAAGTAGATAATCGAGCCCGAGAACTTGATCTTAAAGTCAATATCAGCGGAGCAGCTAGAAGCATCAACAGTCCAGGGTACGTTCTTGTCGATGCTCCCGCCCTGCAACGCCACAGTCGCCGTAGAAGAGGGGCTGCTTTTCACGACTGCCTCAAGATCTCCTGAACCACTCACGATGGCCAAGCCCTGATACTCGAAGTGCCCGGTGCACTTGATGCCAACACCGTTCAGAGTAACCGACATGCCAACACCTTTAACTGCTGACTGGATGTCTGTCAGCTGCAAGTTCTGACAAACCAGTTTCGATGCTGTGACAGTGATGCCTGCCTTCTCCTGTGTCACATCCTGCAAATTGAACTTCAAGTCATCCAGCCATTGAGCCAGTGGGTCCTCTCCGGGAACGCCCTGTGCCTGGACGGCAAGCAAGAGGGGCATGAACCAAATCATCTTCCACACCGCAGCCATGTGCCTTTGGCAAGCCACAGCCCTGCACCTGTGCGCAGAAGCTTGTGCGGCCGACTGAAATGAAATAATTATGTAGCTTTTGAGCCACACTTGGCGGAAACAAACTCAGTGCACGCGTGCGTACCATTGCATGCCAGTTCGTCTGTTCGTGGCTAGCTAGCCTGTGCCTCTGCCCTTTGACAAAGCACTTCAAAAGCAGCGGAACAGCGGAAGGGCGGCAGGCCAGTTCAAGGAATGGCTCAAGAAGAAGATCATCTGGCCGAAGGCCCTGACAGGCGAGGCGAGCTCTGAGCCGAGAGCACAAAGCCGAAGCCCAACCTCTCGGCTTTCTGGAGCTGGTAGATCCACTTGTCCACCGACATGTGGGGCTCATCTGAGGCATTTTCTCAGCTTTGGGCTTAGGCTCGACGGCCCAAAAAAGTCGCTTCTAAAGCTGCCCTGTAATACATATTGAGCAACTCGGATGGCGACTGGTGAGGGGCGGCAGCAGTGTCTTCAACTCCTTCCGGTGATACACGACCTTGACGGTGCAAGAAAGGAAGCGCGACGAAAAGTAAATGGCAAGCCCAAGAGATTGATCTACTGCTGCTCATGCGCATTCTTGCACATTGCGACCGTGCGTGCAATAGTGTTTATATGTAATGCAACAGAAAATGCAACATATAATATGTAACGAAGGCTGTATTAAAAAAACAACATGTCATGCACAGGAAAATAAGGCTCTATATCGTATGATATAAAACATGTACTGCATCATGGAAACCGTGCATCTGCAATTATACGTACAAAGTCATAACCGCCAGAAGAACATCGCCAATAATGACAGAACAGTCGCAAAACCTCATACTGCTGAATGCAATACGTGCGTACAAATGTATGTATATATTTTGGCACTCGCTCTCGACGAGGTCAGGCGAGGATCCCAGGCAAAGAATATATATATATATAGATGTGTATACTCTAATACGTTGCACGGAATAGAATGCATGGTGCTTTATATATAACCTGTACACTAAATCGGAGAAAGTGTTAAGGCACAAGACCAGAATTTACTGATCTATGCTGGACATAGCACACAAAATACTTGAGACTGGGCATAATATGTGCATATGTATATGTATATATATATATATGTATACAACACATAGTATGCAATATGGAATACAACCAGACATAGCACACATGTATCTAATATGGGACAAGAGAGACAGACAGAGAGAGAGAGACACAGAGAGCGAGAGAGAAAGAGAGAGAAGGGGAACGTCCCCTCTTCGGATTCTTATGATAGACACCATTCATGAGCTGTCTTGGTTTTGCTGCAGCGTCTTTGTCATGTAAGGCGCCCAAACGCAGACTGAAGATTCCCGGAAGGTTTTCTTACTCTCCAAGTCCATCTCGAGGGAGTATGCGGCGCTTGTAGAAACTATCCTGAGGTTCTCAGGGGCGAAAACAGAGACAAAGACGGTGTTGGCCTTGCACTTGGGCCTTGTGGATATCCACACCTGCCACTGGGCCCCTGGTTCGTGATCCGGTGGCAGGTAAGCGGAACATATATATATATATATGTAGATAGTTATCGTAATATAGCAGATAGTAACTCAATGAATGCTCGCCAAGCACAAATGCACTCTTGACAAGGCTCTTGGACCATCACGGAGTCAAAAGCGTTCATCGACGCTCGATCGGAGATGATCTGGCGCAGGCACAAGGCACCCCTTTTTGGATCTAGCCTGCGTTGCCAGCATTTTCCGGCCTCGACCCTCAACGCGTCCCTTAGCGATCGCGTTTTCGACCACTCCAGCATGAGGGAAGGCTTCTCCTTCATCCTGGCATGCAACCCGCATGCAGTAATGGCAAGACACAATGCGCTGCCCCTCGGCGAAGAGACTGAGACTGCAAAGTTGCGACCATCGAGGATCCGGCCCTTTCTGATGACCCTCGCAGCTAAGCCACAAAGGCCTGGCACGTAGAGTCCGCAGAGTTTTGCTGGTTCCACATGTTCAGGCTGATAAACTTGCCATGAGAACCAATTAGCACGGTCCTCGGTGCATGCCCGTTGCTGCCGGGAGTGTCAGGTGTGTCTAAAGGCCGTGATTGTGGTCTGAGAGACCAGCCCACTTGAGCATCACACAAGGCGAGTCCGCGGGAATGTACCTCATTTTGTGCTGTGCTCCACGCAACAACTTGCTCTCAGCCGTGCATGCAAACTTACAATGCTGCCCGTGTTCATGTCCGAGCTCACGACATTTTCTCATGTTGAACCAGGCTGACGATTCCCATTTCGAGAGTAAACACACCTGAAGACAGGTGCGTGCTGACTTACTTGTGCACGTTTGCTACACGCTGTTGTCTGCTGCATCAAAGTCTGGCCGTGTCAAGAGCTTAACACTGACCTAGAAATCAGGCTGATTCCCAACTCTCTGTCCTCTTTCGCTGCTTTCGGCCTAACGACAACTATGACGGGGCATCGGCTTTTCAAGCTACATTGGGCTTATCGCTTGTCGTGCCCTTGAATGCCGTACTGACTCTGACCTGGAAGAACTTCTTTCATGGTCGGACCGCTCCACTGACAGAGACGTCTCCTGTGCACCGAGTCCAGCACATGCCACAGTTGGCTGCTGGACTAGCTCAGTGGCCACGCTCTCCTGGCGAGGCGGCAGCGACTATTTTGTTGCAGCGGTGTCAGCATCATGGTCTGGAGCACCCCTCCGATGATTTCGTCGATGCTATGTTTCCATCTCCAGACAGCACCATGGGCTTCAAAACTTGCATCCGTGAGCACACCCAAGGCTCCGAGCCTTCGGATCCTTGGCCAAAAGTCTTTCCACGGTTTCACTCGTCAACAACTTCCACGAAGCTTCGGGACATGCCAACCATGCCACCTGCTGATGCCTCAGCCCAGTACGGAGTGCTTCTCCACAGCCGCAGACACCTCTTGATAGCGAAGATTGGCAGTCTGCCCTCGCCTGGGCTCCGGGAGCGTCTTGTGGTCAGAGCGCTGCTGTCGGGACTTCATGGCAAGCGTGTTCTGCATGCGAGGCTCTACAAAAGTTATCACGATTAGTGTCACATGACTTCACTAGTCGGTTCTTCTCCAGCCTCCGACTTCTCACACGACATTATTCACGACATTACATTGACATCAGCTTTTGACAGTTGACGCTGCCAGTTACCCGCACGCATGCACGGGTTTCCAACTTGAATTCTGCCTGAGAAGCTACGAATGCACGGGCTTCACACCCGAATCAGCTGTACATATACCGCTGTAGCTGCACACGACGGAGTCGGCAACGACATAAAGTGTTCGAAACACACCAACCCATTTATTAAATCGACCAAGGCAGATGGCACAAGAAGTCGAACTCGTCTTGCACAAGTTGCCGCGAATTGGGATTTGCAGAAACGGTTCAGCTGCAAGTGCCCGGCTGACTGCGGACGAAAGAAGACGGCAACATATTAATTACAATGACATGCGACGATCTCTGCCGCGGAAAGTCTTACTGCAGCTCCGAGCAACGAGGAGCCGAGCTACGACACACGAGGATTGAACACGGAGAAGTAGAGAAGCATTGGCAAGCCCAAGAGGAAGACACAACCAGAGCATTCTGACTCTAGACTGCCAAGTCGTGCCAAACCTTTGCGCAATCCTCGCATCTGTTCCCTTCGGGAAACCGGAGACAAGCAGAGCTCAAGGCTGTGGATCAAAGCTTGGATCACTAATGCGACCTGGATACCGCTAGACCAGTATGCCATGTCGGTGTCTGACTGCACTTTGGGACCCCCCATGCTGCGGATGGGGTCTGATAATCTGCTAGGGGTTTCGGTTTTGGCCAACGCACTTAACTACGACGTGGTCGAACCTCGACACTCTAAGCTTTTCAAAGAAGACTGAGCAGTGCAGGGATTATTGACAGCTTGCCGATTAAGAACTGAGGGAGGCAGCCTTAAAATGGCCTCCTGGTGCAGGCTGGCAGCCCCTCCTTCAGGTGTAGTCGGCATAGCTTGTGCCGGAAAGTCCTCTCGGCCACACCTCTTGCCTTGGTGTGTGCCAGCTTGCATTCGCAGACTGCAGCTGAATCTTCATGCGTCCGACACTATATACCCTAGTCAGAGTGCCTTGGAATGTGTCCTGAAGATAAGACGCCGACCTCCGGAGCAGGTCACGCGCTGTCAGTGCTTCACCTTGGAGAAGGACGCCAGCTCCCAACAGGAGACTTGCACTATGCCTGAACTCAGCTACTGCTGCTGCCAAAGCACGCCGGTGGGCAGACCAGGCCGGGACAGCCGAACTGCACAGACTTCGCAAGGTTTTCGGGGTGCACCACCCAAGGCCTAATTACGCGTAGCAGCCTTGAAAAAACACGAGCCCTTGTCCTTGCAGCCCTTGCCTTGCATACCTGGCAGAAGATGCACCGCTTCGTCTGGAGATCGAGCCTGCAACACAAAACTCTGTGATTGTCATCGCCTCTTCTACCTTCTTGGGCCCATGGCCAAGCCCGCCCTTTGCCTGCACCTTCACTGATCAAGCATGCCAAGCACTTGCCCAGAACCCTAAGCCCCAAGCATCCCTGCATCACAGCACCTGGCAGACGCTCTGCCCGCCAGCGCTCCACGAGATTTCGGGCGGCCTTACAGTGGCATCTTTGGTTCACATGACCCTTCCATGGCCGCTGTCTATGGGATCACCGGAATGCAGACTCGCCGCTGAGAACTGCCATGCACAGCAGCGAAATCTTGAACCTCAGCCAAGGTACGACCTCAGCGGCCGCGGTCGAGGGCCTGATCAGAGATCTCCAGTTAGACTATTCTGCGTGGTTCGAGTTTTGGCTCTGTTTGTGCTTGCGTAGCTCTGACACGCGCGAGTCTCGCACGTCCGACTTGCCTCATGCTTGGGTATTCCAGAAGCCCCTCCGTCTGCGCAGGCCCGACCTCGGCTTTGAAACTGCAAGGAATGCAGTGGACACGGCATGCTCCACAAACCGTTCCTCATTTCGAAACGGGGCGGGCAGTGTCGCCCTATCCTATAAATATTGATTTGACGGCGATCTTGCTACAAGAAAGATCTTCCAACAGCCGTTGCATTCTAAGTAGACTCCTTCTGCATTGCAACGGTAGGCGAGTCCGAGTGCAGCGCAGTGGTGTCGCGGTCTCGAAGATGAAGTAGCCTTGAGTTGATGGGGAACACTGACGCACCAACGAACCTTGACCTAAGGAGATCGGCACAAGCGCAGGGTTCCAGAATCTACTTTCCAATTTGGCCAGGAGCGTGCGTTCGACTGCTCGCGTTTCTCGGATGCCTTCTAGCACGAGTGCGTAGCGTTCGTCCTTGGCTGCGAGTGATTTCAGCGGATCCAAGAAGCTACACCGGAGATTTGGAACTGACTTCGTGGCAATGGGGACTTTTTTGGCATGCGCATTACTTCATCTTCTGAGACCCGACAGCGGACTTGGCAACTGCACCTGCCAGGGATTCAATAGACCTGCCGATTCCTCGGGCCTCTGACTCCGGAGACGGGCTTCTAATGTCCCGGTGCTCCCTCGGCTTGGGCAGTGAGTCCCTTTGCGGAGAGACTGCTCGGCTGGAAGGCAGGCCATCTTCGACACAGGAATACAAGCCTTCCATTGTTTTTTCGAGCTGCCGGCGTTGCTGTCGGCGAAGAGACCAGCCAAAGGTCATGAGCACCAGTGCGTTTGCACCAAGGAAATACAGGACCTCTACCAGGCCTTCATTGCCGTCCTCATGTAAAATATGAAGCCGGCCTGTCGTTCGTTCTCGTTCACGCTCGGGTCGAGGCTCGGGCTCTGTCACGGAGGAAGTCTCTATGACTTCCGGTTCTGAGTGTCGGAAAGCTTTGGCTGCTGCAGAGCAGCTGTGCATAAACAGGCCTGCACTGGGGCTTGCAGAAGAGGCATTCACAAAGCTGGCGTTTGAAATCCAGAAGATTTTGTAGCCCGTCTGGCAATATGGTAAGTAAAGGCTGTCCCCTTGACAACGCAAGCACACGACCTGCTGGCGATACCCAGTCGCTTGGCAGTGTGGAGCCTCCCTTTCAATATCGCCGCAAGCTTCGCAAAGGCCGTCCTCCAAGCAGCGGTCGTAGCCAAAGCCGTGCATTAAATCATCCAGAAAAGGATACAAAGCCAGGTCACACCAGCAGCCTGCTCCACGGCAGCAGACAGGGGGTGCAGGCTGTGCTTCTGCAAACCACAAATGCCACAAGAATGCCAATGCCAGCAACGGCAGACGTAGAGCATTCATAGGTGAGGGTTCTGACCATGTGCCATTGAAACCGCAAAACAAGAAACTCGTTGATGTCGATCCTTCATCTTAAGTTTATGATTTGCTCACGCTCAGAACGTGCCGGTATTGATCGGTGGGCTAAGCTGCCTCTTCAGGGCGCGTACTTGCTGCATGCGTCTCGAGCAAGTTGCGGGAATGATCGAACATCTTCGCAAGTGGGCTTAAACTCCGGAATACCTGTGCGCCTGAAAGGTCGCTCAAGCGGACAAGCGACACCCAACATCCAGTGAAGAGCAGTGCCCTGCGAACTGACGATACTGCCAAGGTGACGAACGAGCGTCTTCGTTACAATATGATGGCATGCGACAGTGGAGCACGCTCATATCCTTCATCCTAACACTAGTCAGGCTCGTCAGACTTTCAGTGGGTTATGACGGCAGCTTTGCAGTGCAGTTTCACACCGGCACCTCAGACTTCCTGAGAACTTGCAGAAACCGAAAGTATGAGGAGAGGGAAGGTCTGCAAAGCCTTGCCAGTCACAAGTATAGGGGAATTCGCCACATGATTGAAAAGTTGCTGCAGTAACAGCAATCTATTTGGACCAGCGTCGAGTCTGCTCTTCATCTCTGCAAGTGCTGGACGCTCTGCCGGCGAGGCCCCAGCACAGTCGAGACCTCGAGGGTCCCCGTTAGCTTTCTCCACTTCGGCGGTTCAACTCTTTCTTCTATTGGGGTCAAAGCAGGGATTTCAAGAAAATTACCCCTTGCCCAGAGTTCGATGCAGATGGAATTAAGTTCTAGGACCGAGGATGCATGCGCGCAAAACCTCCAGCCTCCTCGACAGATACCGACCTTCACACCATCTTGCAGCAAAGTGGCGCCATCGTTCCAGCTCAACCTGTGCTGCCATCAAGTTCAACTGTTCAAGGCTGTGAGACTCGCCGAACAGCCGTTTTACGTGCAGGGGAGCCAGCCCCGCTCCCGACACTGACAGCAGATGCCAGGAGCAGATCAGAATGCATGGCTCTGTCAAGGCGCCAGCAGCGCTGCACGCTGCTTTTTCAGCTGACGGCGTCGGCCCTGCGTCAGCTCCCATAAGCCTGTCTTGAGGTTGCTGGGCCTGTCCTGAGGTCCTTAGGGTGTCTTTCGAAAATCTTTCAGGTTCCTGCTTTGTGCCTGAGCCTGTGTCCGGGGTGGCCGAGTTGATCCGGCACGCAAAGTTGCGACCCGAGGGTGTTCGGGGAGTTGTACATGATTCTGGTCCTGGTGTTGTCTATCATGTTGGGCGTGCAAGGAACCCATCCTTGCGGATTGTGACTCCAGCCGTATCAGTGTACCGTGAAGTTGCAACTGCCGACGTCTACACTCAGGATTTCGATCACTCTCTGTACAAGTTGCAGAACGGTGCCAGGAACAGCTAGTATGGGAGATTCGTAAAATCAGCGATCACACCAGTCACCAGACCTCACAAGCAGCATCCTTGATGTCAAGAGTCCCCAGGATCACAGAAACTCAAAAGGAGACCCCCATCCCTCCCAAGCATGAAGACTACTCTTGCCTCGCGGCTCCTGTCGGGGATGGTTGCGAAGTCTCGGAGAGGATGCTACCTCAAAAGCGAACTTGAGGCGTAGCATGTCTACGTACAGCAGTAGTCATCCTTGTAAGGTTCTTGTGACAGAATGTAAAGGTAGTGTCAGCAGGAAGAAGAAAACTGTCTGGTAGCAACATCCTTCCTCAGAATATATCAGAATCGAAATTGCCCGACGCTGCGGCAGAAAGCCTTTTCGCACAGGGGCATGTGCATGTGCGAGCTGTAGGTCTGGGATCATACGTGGTCGACTACGACCGGTGATACAGTGTGGACCGCAAGGGTATAACAAAACTACTGGCCAGGATGACCAGAACCCAATGGTTTAGCTTCATCTGTCCACGTCAACGATAAAATGTGGTATCACATGAGTGCTGACAGAGCTGGAGTTTGCAAACCACTTGGCGCTGGTTTCCCTGAAACGGAGAAGCGAAGCTGTCGCGTCAGCTTGCGGGCTGAGTCGATCCCACGTAGTTGGCAATCAGACTAGAGTCTTGTTGATGAGAGTGTTCATGAAGTCGTCAGGTTTGTCCTTGCTCGAATCCTCACGCTGCAGCGGCTCGCCACAAGACTCGAACCACGTTACGGCATGCTTGCGGTCACCCTTGAAAGTGTTGCGCCCGTGCAGCACGCGGTAGTTGTCCAGGAGGACAACATCGCCCTTTTTCATAGGCATGGTTACCAGGTTGCGCTCACAAACCTCATTGATGTGCCGGACATCGTCATAGGGAATTGTGGAGAGGTCTCCGCTGTACACGTCTGTCATTCCCACCTCCGGCACAGTGCACGGGCGTCGGTCGCGCAGGTATCGGCTGTGGTTGTGCAAGTTGCAGAACCACACCGGCTGACCGGTGACGGGGTGCTTGTTGATCGGCGACTGGGCATGCTCGATGGCTTGCAGGCGGTAAGGGTTGGACTGGTCTGCACCGAACACCATCTCCAAGTCCATGTCAAACTTCGGGGCGACCACCTTCAAGATCAAATCCTGCAGATAGTCGGAGACCTGAACCGAAGGCTTGCTTATGCAAAAAACTGGCCAGCATATATAACAGTTACAGGATGTTGCGCACTCATAGGAAAGTCAAACACACGATCAGTGGGTGAGCACCGGCCGCCCTTTTTCGCAGGAGTGGCCTGGGTTCTGAAGCCATCTGGCAGGCCGCTGAGGAAGTTGAGGTCCAGGTTGCTCACGGAGATTCGCACCTTGTTCTCGTAGATCCGCTTCAAGACATCTTTGTCTAGGTCGTTGACGATCTTGGCCCCGTCTGCAATGAAGAATTCTCCACCTCGGGGCTGCACTACTTTCGCGTCCCTTTACGAGTCCTCAGCAACACATAAGTAACAAAAAAAGGTATGAGTATGCCTATATTATATATATATATATACGAAAATGTGAATCATAGGTATGTGTGTATATATATATATATATGTCTATATATATATATATATGCTCA